AGGCAAAGTCGGTTTACCCTTACCCGACCACCACTATATATACAGTCTCACCTTCTCCCATCACCATTCACAAAATCACAATAAACCAATCTCCAATCTCTCCTACAATCCATTCCTCAGCTGTTCTTCAGATCCGTTCAAGGTAAATTCTCTTTAGCCCGATTCAAATTGCTTCTGCTTGATTCGTGATTTCGTTTTGTGTGTGTATCGTTTAGATCTACGCAGATTTGTTGGTAGGTTTCATCTGATCTCGTTTGTATGTGCGAGTAGATGGATCCGAGTTCGTAGATTTGTTATTTTGATGTTGATTGTTAGGTTTTGCTCGATGTGTTTGTCTGCTTGAATTCTTCCTGCGTTTGCTCGTTGCCGGATTTGATTTGTGATAGGTTGTTAGTGTGTGCTTGATCTCCATGACTGAGTGAAGTTATCGTGGTCGTACGTTTGGTTTTGGTTTGGTTTTGGTGATTAGGTGTTTGATCTGTGATTGGAGCTGATCGATCTGACGATTCAGTAGATCAGAATTTGGATTTCCTGTAAATTTGCGATTCAATTGCGATCTATGGAAAATTAGAGCTCAACCTCTGGTTTTACAACAAAAGCTTCTATTAAATTTCAGTTGGAAATTAATTTATGAAGTCAGCAAGCAGGGGAACATGTTTTTCATTTGGTTATGCTTGTTAATGCTTGTTGATCATATAATATACGCTATGATTTGGAAGATTTTGATGTTTAGCCTTCATCTTACTTGGTTTTTGATTAGCTCTTGCAGTGGATAATTGCTGATTTATCTTTTTCTTGGTTCTCTGAAACTCAGATGCAGATCTTTGTCAAGACACTGACAGGCAAGACCATCACCCTCGAGGTCGAGAGCTCCGACACAATTGACAACGTCAAGGCTAAGATCCAGGACAAGGAAGGAATCCCTCCGGACCAGCAAAGACTGATCTTTGCCGGAAAGCAGCTCGAGGATGGCCGTACCCTAGCTGACTATAACATTCAGAAGGAGTCCACACTCCACCTCGTCCTCAGGCTTCGTGGTGGGATGCAAATCTTCGTCAAGACCCTCACCGGGAAGACCATCACCCTTGAGGTTGAGAGCTCCGACACAATTGACAACGTCAAGGCAAAGATCCAGGACAAGGAAGGAATCCCTCCAGACCAGCAAAGACTGATCTTTGCCGGAAAGCAGCTTGAGGATGGCAGGACCCTAGCAGACTACAACATCCAAAAGGAGTCCACACTCCACCTTGTCCTCAGGCTCCGTGGTGGGATGCAAATCTTTGTGAAGACCCTCACCGGCAAAACTATCACCTTGGAAGTCGAAAGCTCGGACACAATCGATAATGTGAAGGCAAAAATCCAGGACAAGGAAGGAATCCCTTCGGACCAGCAGAGACTGATCTTCGCTGGAAAGCAGCTCGAGGATGGCAGGACCTTAGCAGACTACAACATCCAAAAGGAGTCCACACTACACCTCGTCCTCAGGCTCCGTGGCGGGATGCAAATCTTTGTGAAGACCCTTACCGGCAAGACAATCACCTTGGAAGTCGAAAGCTCGGACACGATCGATAATGTGAAGGCAAAAATCCAGGACAAAGAGGGCATCCCACCTGACCAGCAGAGGCTGATCTTTGCTGGGAAACAGCTCGAGGATGGAAGGACCTTGGCCGACTACAATATCCAAAAGGAATCTACCCTTCACCTTGTCCTGCGTTTGAGGGGTGGAATGCAAATCTTCGTGAAGACCCTTACCGGCAAAACTATCACATTGGAAGTTGAAAGTTCGGACACTATTGACAATGTGAAGGCTAAAATCCAGGACAAGGAGGGTATTCCTCCTGACCAGCAGAGGCTGATCTTTGCCGGCAAGCAGCTCGAGGATGGGAGGACTCTTGCAGATTACAATATCCAGAAGGAATCGACTCTTCACTTGGTCTTGCGTTTGAGGGGTGGTATGCAGATTTTTGTGAAGACGCTGACCGGGAAGACTATCACACTGGAGGTGGAGAGTTCGGACACGATTGATAATGTGAAGGCGAAGATTCAAGACAAGGAGGGAATCCCGCCGGATCAGCAGAGGCTGATATTTGCCGGGAAGCAGCTGGAAGATGGACGTACTCTTGCGGATTACAATATCCAGAAGGAATCGACTCTTCACCTTGTGCTCCGTCTCCGTGGGGGTGGTTGTTTCTGAGGGTTGGGTGTGTGTTGATGGGTGATTTTCTTTTGTCAAAAACTTATGCGTGCTGTGTGGTATGTTTTTTATGTGGTTTGTTCTGGTTGTGTTTTGCGTGAGATTATGTTGGGACTTTGTTCTGTTTGTGTTGGGACAACTAGCTTTGCTTGATGATGCTCTTTGTGTTTGAATTGGTTGAGAAATAAAATGCTTCTAGTTTATGGAAAGCAATAGTTATGCGTTTTATGATTGTTGGTGTGACTGAAAGGAGTATTAATCCTTATTTAAATAAGTCCACATTAATTATATTTTCTCGAGTAAATTTTAAATTTGGTTTTATGTGTTTGTTCACTTTGAGACCTGTAACAACTATGTTTAGTAGACAAATAAGCAGCTTATGCATTCAATTTTGCCTCCAAAATTTGACGTTTCAACAAAACTTGTGATGTTGGCTTAAATGTGTTCTTGGCTTAAATGTGATCCATCTCAACAAAACTTGTGATATACTAAATAACGACGATGAAGTAAAACACTATGTATGTGACATACATGTATATTTCCTAGTTGTGTGATGGTTGAACGTTCAATGTGTTCTGATGTTGAACATTGTTTGTTACTATAGATATGGGCCAACCCAATGTGGCCTGGCTACAAAGAAGTGTTTCTTGCTTGTGTTGTTTGTCCTATGTGTGACTGACGCATTGGGTATTTGTCATTGTTTTTAAACCCGGACCGGACCGGCCCGGCGGGTTGACTTGGGACCTGGGACCCAGCCGACCCAAAGCCAAAACCGGTCCGGGTAGGCTATCTGGACCGGATAACGATGTATCCGGTCGAACCCGGTCAAAACCCGGTCTTGACTCAGTCGACCCGGGAAATTGTCCCGACCGGGTCAACCGGTCTTTATATATTTTTTATTTTTTTAAATATTTTTTGTATACAAAATAAAAACTATGTAAATATATTGAGATAGTAAATATTTATTATGAGATATAATTCTTTAACACTTTGATGTACGAATTTATATGCAAAACATTTATTTTTATTATTTTTATGTATATTTATATGTTAAAAATACTATATATATAATTTGAAAAAATTTAAATTAATTATTCGGTTCAGCAATTGACCCGGTGACCCGACGGTTGAACCGGTGACCCAGAGACCTCCCGAGTCGATTTCTGGGTCGGGTTTATAAACTATAGTATTTGTAGACCATAAAACACCATCGTATCTAAAATCATTTTCAGTTGAAGCATAGCCTCGTTTGGATGTTAGTAGATTAATATAAAATGCGGATTGAACCTCAGTTAGGAGTTTGACCCCTCGTTTGAATGTTAGTAGATTAATATAAAATGCGGATTGAACCTCAGTTAGGAGTTTGACCCGTCAAATTCGTTAATTAATGTAATGGTAAGAGCTTAATTCATTAGCTTTTTCAACCCAAAACAATAACTCTAAAAAGCATAATTCATGAGCACTTTCAAAAGAGAGGATCGTAAAATAATATATTGATATGAATTTCTAAAATAATTATACGATCATGTTACTACAATACAATTCGCAATCCACTACCTATCAATAGAGACCACGATTTTGATATTCATCATAATTTTTTATTGAATCATAATTCCGTGTGGAATGTTTCTGGAGAATCGACACATGAATCATTCCACCATCATCCAACCACAAAACCATAACAATTGATCAAATCCAATTTATTACATTGTTACACTTCACATCATCATCATATTATAATCTCATATTGAATAAGATGGTCGAAAATATCAATAATTTCTCTAATTTTTATTTTTTTTTTCCTACAAATTACTTTTTTTT